TGCATGAGTCGTTTGGGTTGATTTTTCCCTCCTCCGTGCCCCTCTCCCGTGTCCCTACTTGTGGACCCAGAATGTAGAAACAATTCCCATTTTTTCCTTCATCTAATGGACCATTCAACCTGTTGCCCACTAGGCCCTGTGTTTGTCTGGGGTGGAGCAGAAGTGCTGAGCCTCTTCAGAGAGAAGCAGAAGCAGAAGGTCACTGCAGGTAGGAGAGAAGAGCATTTCCTTAGTGTGTAAGGGGCAGACAGCACTGGAGCAGTGGTGGCCCCTGAGGTTCTGTTCAGCCTTTGGCTCATTCCCTCTTGCCCAGGCAGGCTGGAGCAGGGGCAGTGTGCAAGTACTCCAGCCAAGCAGTGCAACCTGTGATTAAGCCTCTGCTGTGTTTACATGTTTCTTAATTCGTCGTCTTTTCAATGGCTGTATTTTCCAACTTGGGTTTTTTTTTGTCTCTCCAATTAAAAAGAGCCAGCCCTGGCTGTCAATGCTGTGCACGACCTGGTCTGCTGTGGTTCATGGTGCCTGCCTCTGGCCTTGGGTTCTTTATGGTTTGAAGCCATTTTCCCTTAGTGCTGTGCAGTGCAGCCCTCCAGGAGCAGTCTGTCCTTTGGTAGCTTTGTCAGTCCTTGCTCTTCCTTTAGAAGCTTTGCTGATGAACCCTTATAGCTTAAAATGAGCAAGGTAGCTCTATTATCTTCCACTTCCCTGATAACCAGAGCTTAAATAACGTGAGGAGTCTGGTACCTACAGGAAGTTAACTGATGTGCTTTGCAGCAAGCAAGCTGGATGTGTGTTTATATGTTCTTGTTCTAGTGATACCTTCCTGCAGAGAAATGTGCCTCTGCAGCACACAGAACCATACTGGCTCCTGTAGCAGATCCCCAAGGAGGATGTTTGGTCCCTGAGGAGCTAAACTGCAGATTTCCCAGCTATTACAAAGGAGAAGCTGCAGTGGATTCTCAAAAGCTTTATTTAAAAAGAAGCAAGTAACAGTGTGTCAGGAGAAGGGATGTGGAGCTGTGGATCATGAGCGGGCACATTTTGTTGCTGGGGTTGAGCAAGGGAACTTGGGAATTAGGCTGGTTTAGAAGGAGGCATCAGTGGCAAGGTACAAACTGTGCTGCTGGTAGGTTCTTAATGTGGCTTCTCCTCTTCCAGGCTCAAGACGAAATCAAACTCCTCTGCGTTGGAAAGGTAAGGGAGGAAAAGCTGTAATTGGGACTTACAGGCAGTCGGAGTGAGGGCTGCCTCCGCAGCGAATAGCACCAGGAGTGCAGAGAAGAAGGTTCCTACCTTGTGTCAGTGGCTGGATGGAGAGCCGTTGTCTTGTGAAGAGCATCATGTTCTTGAGGGGGCCTCCATCTGTTTTGTGTGCCAGGTGGTGAGCCTTGATCTCGGAGAGCGGGATGAACCGCTTGGTCATCCGCACAAACTGCACATCCACCTGGGAAGTGAGGGGCAGCAGAGGAGGATAAAGCCTCCAGACATCACGTAAGATACTGGTGGAGGGGGATAAAGATCTTAAACTGAAGCAAATGCCACCTTATAATGGTGTGGAAGCTTTTCCTTGCTTGAGGCTAAAAGAACTTTGGGCTGCTCCTGGCAGGTGATGTGCTTACAGCACTGTGAGCACTGGGCATTAGCAGCACACATCCATGCTGGCATGGGCAATACAGAAGGAAGCTGTGGGATGTAGCCAGCCTGTGAACAGTCACTTCCCTGTCATTTAGCGTGCCTCAGAACTACAGCTTGCTTTGTGCTAGGCTGAGAGTGGTACTTAAAGATGTTCTCTTTGCTAACCCAGAATCCTGCTGTGCGTGGATGTTAGTCTGCATCCAACATTCAAAGACTTAGGGAGATAGATTTGGCAGCCTTCTGGAAGAAATAGGGGAAAAGGCAGAGAAACTATCAGGATTGACCTTCTTGAGAGAGAACAGGGTAGCTAGGCCGGGCCAGAAGCTTAAGGAGACACACAGTACGATGCAAAGAGGCTTCTGCCTCCACTCAGCTTGCACACAGAGCTTGAAGCAGCTGTATTTAGTTTACTACATTACCATGGACCATTTGGGGTTCTCTTTTCTGCTGGAGGAATCGTAGTGAGGATTCTTCTGATCAAACTGTGTGTGATCAGGGTAAGCCTCCTTTACGATCTGAAGCAGAAAGGGAGAAGAACATGAGACATCAGTTCAAAGCTATTGTCAGCAAAGGCTATGAAATGCTCTTGAGCAAGCTGTGACTAGAGAGAAGGACTAATCCTGATGCACAAGCCAGCCTGGCTTTCCCTGCGCTCCATTCTCACAGGGAAGTCCATTTCCTTCCTTTCCATCTCTTGGGTCAAAGCACTGCAGAGCAGGACGGTTGTCAGTGAAGCCCCATCACCTCTTTGGAGTGCAATGCAGAGGAGCGCACCCAACAGAGGAAAACTGGGTAGAGGATGAGAGACTTTGTGGTGAGTTCTCCTCCTGCAGAAGCTGCTCTGTGCCTGAGGTTTTATTACTGACTAGAACTGAGTCAGATTTTGATCAGTGTGGAGCAAGCCCTGGCTGGAAGCACCCTGACATGCCAGCAGGAGAATACTTTAGTCCCACTTCTCCAGGGAGAAGTGCTTGTGTCAGCCCTGCTGTCACATGTACCCTTGAGCCTTGATGTCCCAGGCTCACCTCTTGCTCCCACTGGACAGCTTTTGCCCTCCTTTGGTGCAGAGACAGAAGCAGGGCTAAGGAGCTGTTGGATAACCCATTCCCTGCCCCAAAACACCGGGCAAGGAAGAGGCACTCACCTTGACAATGCCGACAATGCCAGGCTCTTTACAGTTACTGTGGTAGAAGAAGGCCTGCTGCCCAAGCTTCATGGCTCTCAGGAAGTTCCTTGCCTGTCAGGTGTCAAGAAGAGACTTTGAGCTCTTTGCATCAAGGGTTTCACTACAAGCAGCAGGAACAAGAGCTAACAAGAGAGTGTATGTGAAATAAAACCCAGGCTAAAGACAAGCTCCTGATGGTTAGAAAGCATGTGGGAACCCAGCAGTTCAGCAGAGCTGATCACGTATGGGGGCAAGCATGTACAGTAGTGGAAGCACACGTGGATTTTGTCTGCAGAGAGGCCTGGAAGAGAAAGCTGATGTCGGCTGGCAGTTTAAGGACAGACTTGCAAGAGGTTGCCAGGGGCAATAAGGGCTGCTCAAAGCAAAAGGAAAACCGGATGATGTAACAGAGCATTGCCCAACCTTTGAACCTCAAAAGCAAATCCTTTTTTCCAGGCAAAAGAATAGGTTACCCATTTTCCCAGTGCTACTGCAGTGCCTTCCCCTGTCGTGTGCTCCGTACCTGGTAGTTTCTTACTCCATCCCAAAAGGTGGTCTGGTTGGGCTGAGCTTTCAAGTCCTCAATGCTGAACTGCCAAATGCAATGAAAAAAACAGGGGTTTGCAGGGAGACAAACGGGGTTTGAGAAGTAAAGACACAACAGCGTTCATCCCGATTGCCTGAGCCTGTAACTCAGCGCTCTGGGGATGGCAGTGACACTGCTGCTGTACCCTGCTGAGGAAGGGGGGTGCAGGTACTTACTTTCACATCCACTCCCTTCTCCAGCCTGCTCTCTGGTTCTGATTTCAGCAGCCAGTGGCAGTACGTGATCTTGCTTTCCTCCCCACCGGAGTCAGACTCCTTTGCCTTCTTCCAGTTCTTCCACCCCGACTTGGAACTCCCAGCTGGAGCTTTTGTGGACTTCTCCTCTTCCTCCTTATCCGAAGCCTCCTCCTCGGTTTTGGCAATTTTAGCATCAGGCTCTTTTTTATCTTTAAAAGAGACAACAAAACATTCAGATAAACCCCATTTCGTTCCCAACAGGAGTGACGAAAGGCTAAGATGATGCTTATTTGCTGGAGTTTATTAAGCAGAGGAGTGCCACAGATGAGCCAACTGGGCACTTTGTTCACCTTCTGCTTTAAACACCACAGAAGAGTGCCTCAGGTGCCCGGTTCTTGCTCTTCGGGGTTTTGTCTGTGCAGACACCAGTGTCCTGTGCTCCACTGGGCACACGCAGGTGAAAGCTCTTTGTAAATGGGCGTGAATTGTGTTTCTTAACCACCTGGCATTGTGAATGCATCACTGTCCTCATCTACAGCCTGGTCTCGGTCACCCCTGGCTGCTCAGCCCGTTTGCACAGAGGAAATGCTGTCTGAAACCCGCGCGGGTTAAGATGACTGTCTGCAGTTTCAGTACAGCTTGAGACCTCAAGAGACTTAGTGAGGATGCCAGCACAGACCTGCTACTGCCGCTTTGTCTCTCTTCCTGCTTGGCCAAGGCATCTCCGCTCTCTTGGAACGATCTTCTCTCCACCGGGAAGCTGCCGCTGAAGGAGGGAAGAGGGAGCAGCGCTCAGGTAAGCTGAGGAGAGCAGCGGCAGGGCAGTAGAAGCCGCGCCGTGAGTGCAGGAGTGAACGGTTTCCTTCCCCGGGCCCAGCCGTTTCCTCTATCAGCGCTAAGGCTGGCACTGCCTGAGGACCACACCCGCGGTGCCGAAGGCAGGACCCGCGCTGATGGACACCAGCAGCAGGGCAGCTTCGCCCCACGCTGATGGAGGAGAGGCCCCAGGGTGCTCGTCCCGAGCGCGGCCCGGCCCTGCCCTGCAAGGGGCGCAAGGCGAGGGGGAGCCTCCCACCCGGGGCTCTGCCTCGACTTGTTACTCGCTGCTTCCCGCCCGCAGTCCCCCTTGGGCAAGGGCTGGCGCGTCCAAGCGCTGCCCCTTGGCACTGACCCGGCTCCGGCGGCATCAACTTTTCCACCTCCCGCGCCAAGCGCTCCCTTCCCTCCTTGCCCCGCTCCATCCTCGCCCCCCGGCTGCCCCTCACCGGCTCCTCTCCTCCCGCTGCTGCCGGGCGCGGTCCAGCTGGCACCGTTACGCGGACGGAGGCGGCAGAGCCCTCGGGCTCTCCCCCTTCCCGGAACCAGCGCGCAGGCGGGAGGCGCCGGGGGCCGGACTACAGCTCCCAGCCTGCACCCGAGAGCAGCCCGCGGTCCTGCCGCGCCATGGCCTGGTGCGGAGCCCCCCGAGCGGCTCGGCGGCTGCTGCTGCCTCTGCCCCTGCCATCGCTGCGGTGCGCGGCGGGACGGCGCCGCATCGCCTCCTGCATTGACCGTGAGCAGCGGAACGGGAGGGGATGGGGACCCCCCCGGGACCCGGCGCAGGGCGGTGCGGGCCGGGAGAGCCCAAGCGCTCCTTCCCCTTCCGCGGTACCTGGGTTGTATCCTGAGGATCGGCTGCGGGTCGGCGTGGCTCGGAAAGGGAGGCAGAAGGGGCGGCTCGTAGCCCTGATGCTGAGCGGGGGCTCTGGTTACTGGGGCCCAGCTGCTCTCCTCCTACGGGATTCCTGAGCGCTGCCCAGATGCATTGCTGCCGGGTGTCCCAGCGGGTGGGACTGGAGCTGCGGCATCCCTGGGAGAGGAACCAACGAATCGGTGTTGGGTGAAGCAGGATGCAGGCTCTAACTAAAGTTATAGAGGGCTGCTTTATTCTTAGCTCGCTTCTCGACTTCCTTGCAGTCCCAGTCCTTGGGACACTTGGGTGCTGTTTGACACTCGGTTTTCCTGCAGCAGACACGGTTTCTGATTTCTCTTCCCTAGCATCCGCTGGGCTCACTGAGGAGCAGAAGGAATTCCAGAGCGTTGCCCTAGATTTTGCTGCCAAGGAGATGGCTCCTCACATGGCTGAGTGGGATGAGAAGGTACCGCAGCCCCAGCAGGGTTGTACCGCTCTGCTTTCTGTCCCTTAGGACATGATGGGTCTTGGGACTCCCTAGGGGGGTGGTCCTGCAGTAGCTCCTCGGTGCTGTCACATCGTCTGTAGGGCTTGGCTTTGAAGCTGCTGCTGCAGCTGGGGTGGAAAGCCATCAGGAAGAACTTGAAGCTTCCCTGGCCAGGCTGTTCAACCACCTGAGACCTGGGTTTACTCCTGAAGATGGTCTCTATCTGCCTAAGTAGAGACAAACCATTCTGCAGCCCGCCCAGTTAACGCCACCTCTGGAGGAGTTTGGGTCTGGCCTTGCTGTACCAAAAGAGTTTGAATGCTGAGATTGAATTCATCCTGGTTACTGTGCTCCCTCTGCCTGTCCCAACAGGAAATCTTCCCTGTGGACACCATGCGGAAGGCAGGCCAGCTGGGATTTGGTGGGATCTATGTGAAACCAGACGTCGGTGGCTCTGGATTGTCACGACTTGATACCTCCATAATCTTTGAAGCGCTCTCAACGGGGTGTACCAGCACCACTGCTTATATGAGCATCCACAAGTGAGTTGTTCCGTGGGCTGGATGCAGCTCCCTTGGCGCTGCTTCGTAGTTCAAGTTGGGACACTGAGCAAACCCATCCCTGTGAGGATCTCTTAGTGGCTGTGAACAAACATGCTTCTAAAGGAGATGCCACCAGGAACTGATTCTGCCTTTGTGGCGTGCAGGATAGGATTAAGTGCTGGCTGTGCAGGCCTCCTGTAATGCTGCTCCTTCTCTGCTGCTCCAGCATGTGTGTTTGGATGATCGACACCTTTGGCAGCGAGGAGCAGAGGCGCCGGTTCTGCCCATCCCTCTGCAGCATGGAACAGTTTGCTTCTTACTGCCTGACCGAGCCAGGTGAGCATCCTCATTGGCTCCTTCCCAGGCTCCCAGCGCAGCCGAGCCGGACTTGACCCTTCCAAGCAGCAGGGAAGTTTCTTCCTGTGCTTACCTGGGCAGTCACCGGGATGTTGGGAAGGGGCAGGTTGGGGTGGGGGCAGGCTCTGGACTTGCTTCACTGGCTGCTTCCTTACCTCTTGAGCAGGAAGCGGGAGTGATGCAGCTTCCCTGCTGACCTCAGCTCAGAGGAAAGGGGACTCCTACGTCCTGAATGGCACCAAGGTACCTCCTCGCTCCTCCTAAAGCTGCTGGATGCAGTGCATGCACAGGGTTTCATCGTTTCCATTTCCTGCTATCTCATCTCTGTACTCTCTGCAGAGCATTCACCAGAGCTGGTCCCTGAACACCTTCTGGGGTCTTCACAGCTGCAGGCTCTGGGCTAGCACACGACAGGGACCCCTTTCTTGTGCCTTTCTGCAGGCCTTCATCAGCGGAGGCGGGGACACGGATGTCTACCTGGTGATGTGTCGCACGGGAGGCCCAGGCCCCAAGGGCATCTCCTGCCTGTTGCTGGAGAAGGGAACACCAGGGCTCAGCTTTGGGAAGAAAGAGAGGAAGGTACGAGGCTTGGGGCTTGCTTCCTGGGTGCTTGAGTGAAGTGCAGGATAACGATGAGGGACCTCTTCTGGGATGGGACCAGAATCCCACCTGGACCGTTCTTCCCAAGCCAGGCCCAGCTCAGGTTACGTTTGCCCTTTGTGAAGGGAAGGGTTTTAGTGTCAGAAGCATCACGACTGTTGGATCTGTGCCTCTTCTCAAATAGATCATTCCTGTTTCCACACTGAGGCCAGACCACATAGCCTGGGGGTGCTCTGCAGCAGCTTGGCAAGGAGACCGAGAGGCTGAGAGCAGTTCTGTGCTGGGAGCCGGAGCTGTGCTGCTCCTCGGGCAGGCTGAGGGCACTGTGCTCTTCCCCAGGTGGGCTGGAATTCCCAGCCAACTCGAGCTGTGATCTTTGAGGACTGCGTGGTTCCCGTCAGCAACCGGCTGGGAGCCGAAGGGCAGGGCTTCAGCATCGCCATGAAGGGCCTCAATGGAGGCAGGATAAACATAGGTAAGAAAGCCAAGGGAGGAGGAGGAGGAAGGAGGGCAGGATCATCCTGTTCCCTGTCTGCGACTGCTTCACATTCACTCTGTGTCCCTGCCTTCTCCCACCAGCTTCTTGTTCATTAGGAGCTGCTCACGCCTCTGTGCTCCTGGCTCAGGAGCATCTCACCGTGCGCAAGCAGTTTGGGGAGCCCCTGGCCAACAACCAGGTACCCCCCATCAGAGCTGGGAGGGGATGAGGCCCAGGTGTCCCGTCCCCCCCCACCTCCCTGAGATGCTGACCTGCTTTCCCCTGTGCAGTACCTGCAGTTCAGGCTGGCAGAGATGGCCACACGCCTGGTGGCAGCGCGGCTGATGGTGCGCAACGCGGCGCGGGCGCTGCAGGAGGAGCGGGAGGACGCGCCGGTGCTGTGCTCCATGGCCAAGCTCTTTGCTACTGATGCGTGCTTTGAGGTGGGCTGCTCGAAGCATCGCTTGGGAGCTTTGCAGCCCCTCCAGGGTGTCAGGAAGCAGCTGGGCACTGTCACGACCCAGCCCCAAGCACGTTCCTTGAGCCAGAAGCCTCACTGCAGGAGCAGGGTGTTCATGGGACTGAGTTCTGCAGCCCGTGGAGGCTTCACAGCTCAGGCTTGTGCTTCCTACACTGCCTTCTAGAGGACCGAAGAGGGGGACAGGACAGGGTAAAAGCCGTGCTGCAGGCTGGGAGGTGTCCCTGCTCATGGCAGGGGGTTGGAACTGGATGATCCTAAGGCCCTTCCCAACCCATTCCATGATTCCCAGGTAGCAGGTGCTCTTTGATAGGCCACTGTTACCCCAAAACGTCCCTGAAAAGGAGAAGCAAGAAGGGAGGAAAAGGAACAGTTTCTTCCTCTCTGACCAGTAGATGGTGGTGGTGGCGTTTTGCATCGGTAGCACCACAGACATGCAGCAGCATACCCCTTAAAAGTGTTTTCCTTGGTGTTTCTGTGCTATAAATGCATCATTAATGTGAAACAGCACTTGGGTGATGTGCTGGCACTGAGAGCAGCACTGGGAGTGCCTTGCTGCCTCACCACACTTGAAGAGATGGGATTAAGTGACCAGAACAAAGACACCAGGGAGGTTCCTGGGTTCTTACCAAGCTCCTGTCCCTGCCGTGTCCTCCGTGTCCCTTCACTGGTGAGTGTTCTCTCCTCAGATCTGTAACCAGGCTCTGCAGATGCACGGGGGCTATGGCTACCTGAAGGACTACGCCGTGCAGCAGTTTGTGCGAGACGTCAGAGTCCACCAGATCCTGGAAGGTAAAGGGCACTGTTAGGGCCAGGAGAACATCGTGTCTCTGACAGGGTCTGCCCTGCTCTGATCTCATTTGGGCCATTCTGTGTGCCCTCCTTTGACATCCCTTCACCCACACCCAAGACATCCTCTTTCCAGTACCAAGTGGGTCCACACTCCCTCTATGTTAATAGCGAAAACCCGGATGTTGGTTTATATCCACTCCTGGTGCTGCATCCTCCCAAAGCCCAAACTGATACAAGCAACAGCATCTGCCACTCTGAATCCTGAGAAATGTGTTGTGTTTTGCCCCAACACGTACTAAATGCCACCTCCATCACTGGGAGGAGCTTTTCTGTGCTTGTGAAACTGCTGATCCAGGGAGAATCCTCTATCTGGAGGAAAATCCCTTGACTGCCTGTCTTCTGCACCCCTGTCCTGCTGCAGGTACCAATGAGGTGATGCGGATGATCGTGGCCAGGAGCCTGCTGCAGGCCTGAAACCAGGAGCTCTTCTCCAGCCTTAAAATGCCATTGTGTGTTACACTCACTCTGTTTCCCTCCCCTGTGCACCGGCTCCATCCCTGGGAGCACGGAGGGGGATCGATATCCCTGTGGAAACAGCCTTTCTGCCTCATACTGCCTGGAAGCGCACAGCTGGATGCCCCTCACATGCTGCCACCCTGTGCCTGGCAGAGCTGCTGTGCCGTGGCTCCTATTGTGCAGCCTGAGGATGCCAATCACAGCGGTGAATACGAGCCTCCCTCTCCACATCTCCATCACGGGCTGCTTGCCACATAGAGAAACCCCAGCCTCTGCCGAGTCAGGACTGAAATGGGAACGCCGGGCAGAGGTGCAGCCTTAATCCCGTGGGATTTTTACTCTTTAGGTCAAGGGAGCTATTTGGTCTGCTTTAAAACCTGGCCTCTGGGGACATAGGGAACAAGTTACCCACATAACTGCAGCTCTAACCACTTGCAATGGCTTTTTAACTATGAAGCAGGATGCTTCTGGGCTACCTGGAAGCATTCCTTTTTATCCCTGCACCCCTTTCCCAATGGACCGACTGTTTGTTCTCCCTATTCCTACCACGTATTGGTGCTTAACCTAAGCGGTACGAACACTAAGGTACTGCATGGGAACAGTTAACCTGTTGTTCCTAATCGGTACTCCCTGCCCTGCGCAGCGTAGGGGGAATAAATCAGTGAGTTCAGGTGTTTCCCCCCTCCCATTTGGAATCAATAAAGCAGCGATGTTGATTTGACTGATAATTCCCTTCTGGGCTATGGCAGGGATTAAACCCAGCTCCTCTTCTCCCAGCACACGCTTCACCCATGGCAGGGCCGGGAGATGACGGACCCTTACCGCCTGCCTTGGGTCTCACCGAGCAGCGAAGCGCGCTGGCCGGCCTCGGAGCTGCCTCCCCGGGTAGCGGCCGGCGGAGGGGCACAGGGACCCGCCTCTCTCTACCACCACCCTTCGCCCCGCCCTGCGGGCGCCCAGCCACCAATCAGAGGCCGCTAAGAGGCAGGCGGAGCCCGCGGCTGGCCAATAGCGGGCGAGCAGCGGGCGGAGCGGACCAAGGCGGCGGAGTGAGGAGGGGGGCGCGGCGGCGGGGCCGGGCCGGGCCGGGCCGGGAGCGCGGCCGCCATGTGGCCGTGCGGCGGGCGGCGGCAGCGCCGTGTCGGCGGGGTCGCGCTGGTCGCGGTCGTGCTGTGGGTGCTGGTGCGGAGGTGAGAGCAGGGCCGGGAGCGGGAGCGTGGGTTTGGGGTGAAACCGGTGAATTAAAGCAGTGCCGGCGGGAGGTGAATCCATGGGGATGAACCCAAATCCTTCCTTGGGGGGGGGGGGGGGAAGGAGCGCGCCCCGCTCCCGTTCGGCAGCGTGGGGACGGTTTGCAGCGTGAGTTGCACGGGAGCTCCTGCCCGTCGGTAACGGTAACGGTAACGGTAACGTTGCGCTGATGCTGTCCCGGGGGATGCTGGCGCTCCCGTCAGCGCAGAACGGGAGCGGGGTTCCCGTCAGTGCCGCCGCTGGAGCCGCTCCCGTTGCGTGCACCTCGCTCCAGCCTCTCCCGGGGCCGGCTCTTCCCATCCCGTGCCCGTGTGGTACCCAGGGACCGGCGCTGCGGAGCGGCAGGAGCTCTTCAGTCCCTGGCACGGGGGATGATACAAGGGAAGATGTGGTTATGCCTTGGATAGAACAGAACAGAACAGATGTGGTTATGCCTTGGATAGAACAGAACAGATGTGGTTATGCCTTGGATAGAACAGATGCAGTAGAAGGTATCCCTGCCCCTGGAACTAGGTGAGCTCTAAGGTTCCTTCCAACCCACACCGTGACAACGTGGGATTTATTACCCCCGGGATTTATTGCATGTTTATAATGGGTCCTGGAGTTCGTAACAGGAAACTACCTGATCCTCGGGGCTATAGACAAGCTTTGGTTAAGTCCTTGTGTAATTAGAAGCAAAGTTCTCTTAGGGCTGGTCTTGGGTTTGTGCCACATCCGTTTCTCACAGAGGACTCTTGCAAGCCAATACCTGGTAAACGGGTGGAAGTCTGCTCCAAAGAGTGCCCGTAAACCAGGGTGTCCGTCAGAACCCGGTGGTTTTCTCCCGCTGGGAATAACCTGTACCAGGATCATTATCCCCACCACGTGCATCTGGGGCTTGGCTGCCTGACACAGGACCCTGGTTGCCACCGGACAGCAAGTGAAGGCAAATCAAAGCTTTCCCTTTCCCCTGGCCACAGGGAGCATGGAATAAAGAGCTCTGTGTAGAGTTTAGGGGTTAAATGGAGTCTCTTGTCCTTTAGTGTGGGTCTCTGTGCTTCTCACCTTGTTTTGGCTTCATTTTCCTTCTCCTTTGGCTGCTGTGGGTATGTGGGGGAGCAATACCAAGGCTCCATCCCTGCTCATCAGAGAGGACTTGAGCTGGATTTGGGTTTTTTCATTATGGAGGTGAGAAACCCGAACCTGGGAGCTATAAATTGCTCTCCATTGGAAGCACGGAGGTGGGTGCCAGGGGGTGTTGAGGCAGGGAACGCGCCAGCTGGGTTATGGCCAGGGTTAAGTGGATGAAGCGATGGCGTTATCTTTACCTGGCTGTGTGTTTCCTGGGTGCTGTGGGCAGGGGTGAGTTAGGGCTGAGGAAGTGATCGGAAACAAGGGATTTTCCAGCTTACTCTTGAAGGATTGGAGTCTCCAGACCCCTCTGAGCTTCCCAGCTCTGGCTTGCACCAAGCAAGAGCAGATGGAGCTGCTCTTTGGGGAGCTCATTGGCTCTAAGACCTAGTTCTGGGGCACGGAGCTGTAGGATGCATTGAGAGCCACCTCCGCTGCTGGTAAAGCCCATGGGAACTCCTCGGGAACAACGCTGCCGTTCCCAAGCCTCACCCCATCATCCTCTGCCTTGTTCCTGGAGTAGACGAGCACCGTTGTGTGCCGTGCCTGTTTCTCCTCCTCTGAGCTGCCCTCTCTCCCTGCCAGCTCTGTTATTCCTGCAGCACCGTTATGGGATGTGCTCCCGGCTCCTTGCTCAGCGCTCTGGCAGCGATTGCATGGTGGATGCGCCTGGTGGGTGAAGGTCGCTAATCGAGACTTCCTTTTGCAGGTATTACCCGTGCCTGCTGCCGGCTGTTTCAGAGCCCTGTGGGAATGCTGTGCTGTACAGGTACCCTGGGCTTGCCAGCCAGCCCCTGCAGTAGGCTTAGTTCTCCTTGCATTGTGTTGAAGGACAGGTACTAGCTGCTGGTTAGCAATCCCTGTAAGCCCCTCTGCTAATGCCTGCTCTGCACCTAGAGTAGAGAAAGCAGCTGGAGCTTGAGGCATTTCCCTTCCACTCCTGCTTGCTCGAGACGGGAATTCATCCCTCACATCTGGCTGTGCGGAGGAGCAAGCTGCTGTTGTCCAGCTCCTCTGCGTATTCAGAGCGGTGGAACTGGGATGATGGAGGCAGTTTGACTGCTTGTTGATGAAATGGTTTCTTGGTTCAGCCATAACCAGCTGCAAGGGGATAGGGAATAGACAGAGCACGCAGGAAGCATCCCGAATGGAGCTGTGGTAGCATGAGGACTCAAGGCGGTAAGTGCCGTGGAACCTGGCATCGCCTTTGCTCCTGTTCTGTTGGCAAACGACATAGTGATGGAAGCGGTGCGAAGCTGGTGCTGGGATGGATGTAATCCAGGACATGAAGGAAGAAGCTCTCTGTTCCCACTGAGGGCGCTTTGCCTTCCGTGCATGGAGTTGGAAGGTGTCAGAGGCCACAAGGTGCTCAGGGTGTCACTACCGAGCTGCAGCTGCTGTTGGAGCAAGGACCTGGGAATCGGCCATCCCGCTGCAAAACAGGGGCATCTGACAGGGAATAACTTCGGGAAGTGCTGGAACTGGGGGTGAGGAGCTGCCCTCCTCCTGTTGCCAGTGGGGTGATTCCATGCTCCGGGCCGGAGCGGTGCCACGGTTCACTTGCAGAGTGTGGCAGAGGGGCTTGGGATGGGAGCTGCGACTGAAAGGAAGGGTAAATGCACATCGTGGGCAGGCTTCCCTCTGCCTATAGCTCTCTATGGCAAAGAGCGTGGCTTGAGGAGCAGTCAGAGGAGACCCTGCCAGGTTAGGGGAGCACGAGCAGCCTCTCAGGGGTCAGATTTGATCAGTGGAGGCCGGGTGCTCTCATCCCTGCCTTTCTCTTCCAGGTTTAACTGGAGCGAACTGGTCCCTCTGCGGTTATGGGGGAGGACCCTGGGCCTGCAGGCAGAGCACTCGCAGTTCCTGCTGGAGGGCATGCCGTTCCGCATCTTTGGAGGCTCCATGCACTACTTCCGAGTGCCCAGGGAATACTGGGAAGATCGAATGCTGAAAATGAAAGCCTGTGGCTTGAACACCCTCACAACGTAAGTGCCCCCCCTCCCTCCCTATGGCTTCCATAGTGGTTGCTGGGATTTGTCCTCCATCCCGGCTGTTTGAAGGGATGCTTGTGCCCAGGGGTGCGCGGGGGGTCTCGGTGTGCTTCACCAATGCAGAGCCCTTTCCCCCCCTGCACTGCCCAGGTACGTGCCATGGAACCTCCATGAACGAGACCGAGGGAAGTTCGACTTCAGTGGGAACCTGGATCTCGGGTACGTGGTGCCTGTTCCAGCTCCGCTCCAGACCCGCTTGGCTCTGGTGGCTCTGGGTGAGGAGGTCGTTTCCAGCCCGTGCCTTGATCAGGCAACGGAGGCTCTCGTTCCTTCTGGAGCTCCTTGGAGCTGTAGTCCCAGTCCCAGCCTCAGCAGGCAGTTGCTGTGCTGTGCCACACGGTGACTGGTGCAGGCAGGCACTGATGAAGCTCTCTGCATCCCCAGGGCCTTCCTTTCGCTGGCAGCTAAGAACGGCTTGTGGGTGCTTCTGCGTCCTGGCCCTTACATCTGCTCCGAGTGGGACCTTGGGGGTCTGCCCAGGTAAGTGTGTGCTGCTCCCCTTGGGGGGGTGGAAAAGCCCTTGGGCACACGGCTGAGCCCCCTTCAGAGATAGGGAAGGGTTGGCTGACCCCTAACCGTGCCACCCTCCTGCTGTGTGCTTGGAGAGCTGACTTGAAGACGTGAGCATTGAGGCTCGCCTGGATACTGGATCCCAGTGGAACCGGTTGTTTTCCTCACCGTCAGGGAGTGTGAACCTTAGTGGAGACACTGCAGTGGGGATTGCTGCTTGGAGTCTTCGTTTCTCAGGATGCCTTTGGCATCAGAGGGCTCGAGGTGGAACTGGAAGGTGTGTGGGGATGGCTTGTGTGCCCAGAGGCAGCGGTTGGCTCTGCGTGACGGAAGTGCCCGTGTTGCCCTGTGCATCTTTATCACTCAGATAAAAGACTGATAAAGAGCAGCAGTGCTGTTCTTGTTTCACAGATAAAGAGCAGTGATTTTGTAAGCCCACTGAGCTGCTCGCAGAGTGCAGGAGCTGAGTATTCCAGACCTCTGGAAGCGCTATTAGTTAATGCCTCCTTATGTAGAGACGAGGAAGGTGCAAGCTCGAAGCGTTACAGCGTGGCACTGGTCTGCTCTGAAGCCAATTGCTCTTTCCTGTGTTAAGACCCAACCAACAAACTAAGTCTTGGAAATGAGCAGTAGAAACCATGGGAACAATGCCTGGAGGCGTTGTTTGGGTGATGGTTGGGGTCTGTGCCCTAGGGGATTCAGGATGTTCCAGGGTAACCTTGTGAGTGGTAAGTTTAGCCCTTGAAATCCTCTTGGGAAAGGTATGAAATGAGCTTAGGCCCAAACTGCAGGCCAAAAAGAGGGGAAGAAGTTGGCAATTG